CTTAAGAAATCTATCAATTACACTCAATCAAAATCTAATTATGATTATAAAAATCTCATTAGGTAATAGTTCTAACAATTAATACTATATCAACTAAAGATAACCGTTCTAATAATATATTATCACGGAACTGAATTAAATGAAGGTTAAGGTTATAGACATGAGGTTTAAATCCTTGATGTCTTAATTACAGATGTCACTTTTGATGAGCACGATCTTCTTCCGAGCATAAGTATTCGATCATCGATCCAGTAAAATTAATAACATGACATAGCATCACGCTTTTTATTCCCGAAGGGTCAGGCAGAGGTGCTCGTTGCGGCAGTTAATGCCACTGTACAATGTAACACCCATTTTTCACTATTTATGTTATGAATCCCCATGTAATAAGGGGTGAGCCTATTGCTATATACCGGGCACAATTTCAGACTCTGTGCTACTACTGAGCATTTTTAAAAAACCCCGTAATTCTTACCCCGACCCGGGAATCGAACCCGAAACTCCTTTCCCAGCAGTCGCACTTGCGACCACTTGGCGAACGAGGCACTAAAATTGATGTTTCCTATATTTTGATTTTGAAATTACACAATACATAGGTAATTAAGGACAGCATAGGAACATACATGACACTCACTTTTGTATCATTCGTGTCATAGTATTAGTAGGAGAAATTAAAGTAGAATAAAATGTACTTATACTTACCTTCTTAATGCCCGATTATGAAAAATCCACAACATTTGTACCTACAAAAGTAGTCTCTAAACTTCGGAAATAAGGTCTATAATGTAGTAAACGAAGAGCGCTCACTGGTGATATTAGTCTACTTTTACCACGGATATCGTAACAATAAATTAAGTGTGAAAACATTTCTAGAATATGCAGTCTATTAGTTCTACGCTGTTTCCAACCAGAAGCTTCATCATCAACAGCCTATAAATGCTCACTGCTGAGCAAAACCTCTTCACACATGGAGGTTTGAGCATTCATCACCACGCTTGCTCAATGCGGGTTGCCGATTACAAACTTATATTTAGAAATTATAAACCCAGGTTTACTCACGATGTTTTCCTTCACCGTTTATCAGTGGTGTCTAGATAATCGTAGAAAGTACATATAATTCGGAAAAAGTCACATTGGTACTTACCGTTGGTAGGTTTCGAACTCGTACCCTCATGCATGAGAAGCGCACGACTTATTTTATCACCAGAAGCTTAACGTAGGAAAAACCAAACCACATGCGTCCAATCTGAACGTTAAATAAGATTAGATCACATGTCATTGACACAATGGTACACCTAATCTGTAGTCGGAACACCAGCTCGCGCGCAACTCGCCTACAAATCAGTTCATAAGGTAAATTTTTATACGAAATACCGCCCAAAATCCACATGTTTTAGCCAACCGTTACTCAATACTAGATACCTGGGATTAAGACGTCTCTAAGACCTTCAGCCGGTCTCCCAAAATGTTATTTTACGTTGTTAGAATAATAATAATAATTTCCAAGACAAATATAATGTTTAGCAGTCCATTTATGGCTGATATAATGACAAAACTCTATGTACAAGTTGATAATAGGTAATTAAATTCGTTGATATCAGTTACCATGATTTTTTTAATGGGGAAAATCATCGAATGTCTGCTCCCGCCTAGGTGAGGCGGGAGGGAGTGTCAAACTCTTACTGACTAAAAACCACCCCGTTCCTTCTCCTGCACGTCGAGCCGGAGCCCCGGTAACCCGTTAGGTTCTCCGCGACAGTTACCATGATTATCATTTTGATTCTTCTTTAAAATGCTATTGTTCAAGTTTATAACAATTTTGGTGAAAGATGCACTCAGCCAATGCCATATTACCTACTATTAATATTGTATTAGAGTTGTATCATAGATCGATAGATGGCGTTGGCCGATTTAAATTCAAGCTATGGTTTCGTTACCGAAAAAATATTAGGTTGATTGGCTTGACGTAAATAAATTGTCCTGCTCTGAGGTACTTCGTACTATTTCAAATAACTACCAGACCTCAAAGGACTTTCTGCCGATATTGTTCAACTATTGGTGGTTTCTAAATAACAAAACAATAAACATTTGAAAACTACAATTTACAATTACCGTCAATTACGGCAATAGGGTAGATGAGTAATTTTTATTTTAATGCCAGTGTGATAGATTATTTTATAACATTACCCACGTATTTTTTATTTTTTTACAGAAACGAATGTTTTTGACGATATATTGATTTGAAATGTCGCGTGACGTCACTTCTTTGCAGATTTTATACGTAGAAATGACGTTTTAGCCCCCACTCCTAAACTTTGATTCGTTATATCTAAGTATCATTTTATTATACATCAAAACAAAAAAATACGTGTCTAATATTTATTCATTAACTAACTGACGGACTAATTAAATTTTTAATTTACATACCCTGTCATCGTCCCTATTACTTAGTTACACAGACCTCTGTGTTCACCAGAAATTGTGAATATCTTATGGTGATTTAAACTGTCAAACACCAAGTGGTCACCGGTGACCGCAACCTATTGTTCTTTAATTGTGTCTATAAATACGGTACTCGACGAGTTAAATGACTTCCTAAAATAGTTTAAAATTATTCTAGGAACTACAATAAATAAATACAAACGTAGGATTCTCATAATAATTTTATCAAGCATCTTGCACGTTGGTATGGTTTATACTTTAATTGATGAATCATAAACTTATCAATGGAAATCATAATAAGGAAGTTTGTAATACTAAATAACTGTTTTATATATTTACTTAATGTTTACCATGTCTTTAAAACTGTGTGGGAGCCATACTTCGGCACGAATGGGCCGGGTTGACCGGTGTGATACCACGGCCTCACAGAAAACCGACGTGAAACAACGCTTGAGTTGTGTTTCGTCGTGTTAGTGAGGTTACCGAAGGCCCAATTACCCCCCTCCCTAGTCCCCGTCTCCCGATTCCCAAAAGGCCGGTAACGCACTTGTAACGCCTTGGTGTTTCGAGTGTCCATGGGCGGCGCCGATTGCTTACCATCAGGTGATCCGTCTGCTCGTTTACCGGCTTATGCTTTAAAAAAAAACATACAGAAAAATGTCGTAATATATTGTATTGAAATCATTTTTTACAACTTTTGCCGAAGAAAAACTTTGGTATGTTATTTTTCTATCTAGCAGATAGTTCGTAGCCCTTAAATAAATTGGATATCGTAGTAACAGAATATACGCTGGCAAAACGCAAACACAAAATAAAAAAAAACATCTAGAAACTTCGATACACCAATCACCGCAATTCGAAATTGTAACCCCAAAACGACTAGGAAAAAATAAAAAGCAAAACAAGACTCTCGAAGTCTCGGCCGCCCATCCGTCTACAATCTAACTATTTTTTTTCTTTTTCTGCACGTGCATTCGAGTCACGCCAATGGCATCCTTGAATGTACGCTGCGACATTTCGTATTCACTATCCACAGTCATTTCACCAGTGACATTTGACATACAAGGTTCAATGGACGAGATTGGAGTTTGTAAGGCATTCGATCGCAATCCATTCGGAAAAAGCCCTTGCGGCTTTTAAGGGTTAGGTGCGCAAATTTTATTAAATTTCTGATGATTAAGATTGAAGGCTTTGTGCTTCACTGTACTTCTATCGCTTCTATTACCGATTTAAAGTTAGTTATTAATAAATAAAAATATCGGTATGACAAAAAAATGCGTAAAGCCGGCTATTCGTAATTACTTTTACTATAAAAAATACTATGACTTGCAGTTTAAAAAAAATGCATTGAATACGATTAGTCGATACCTTATTCTAAATTTAAATATTAAAAACGGCCTTTTAAATACTCAAAGGCTATTGACATGGCTGACTAACACATTGCTAAGTAAAAATTAGGTCAAATTACATTAATGAATTCACTGTACCGACTTAATTATGATTGTTTAAGCTAATCGTCAAATTGTCAATGAATTTGACGAACGAGCATAATTTGATACTCAAATTCCACTAAGTAATTATTACAACAAAACGGAACTAGGTATTTCAATGAATTGATTTTTATGGTTATTACTTTTTTATATTTCCGTTTTTTATTGAATTAGTAACAATTTTTGTTTTAAAGTGACTTTGTTGATAAATAGTTAACTGTTTCGTCATCTTTACCAATGAATAGTAAGGAAATAGGATGTCATACTGATATACATCACCTTTAACATATATATAATATTAATATTATGATAGATACTAAAAAAAAATTGTTAAAAAAAGTGTAATACTGATTTCTCAATTACGAAATTCTCCATAAAGATGGTGATTGATGATGACGTTAATTATGTCCTTTTTAACGTTTCCAGCTTGAACCGAAAGATGCCAAATGGCACCCTTACCATGCCAAACTTAGTTTGGTTTTCTTAACCCTTTTGTGTAGAGGACACCCATAGCCAACCAGAAAACTATAGAGTTTCGTGTGTATAGAGGACCCTAGAAATGTGATGATTGATTATATCATACAGATCCCTCCCTAATGAATCCCTGAATCCACAACAATCCTCAAATTCCAATCCCCAAAAGGCCGGTAACACATTTGTAACGCCTCTAGTGTCGCTTTGGTTGCTTACTATCCCTCTAATCGTTTACCGCCTTATTAATTTATTTTTACCCAAAGTCGTTCCACTGCAGGGCAAAGGCCTCCCTACCCTCCTTCCACTCGTCTCTTCTTAAAGCTTTCTGTGGCCAATCCTTTTCACAGGCATCAAGCTCATCCCGCCATCTCCTTCTGGGCCTACCGCGACATCTATTGATATTGAGTAGGCTCCACTCAGTAGTGAGTTTTGCCCACCGCTCGTCTGACATACGGCAGACATGACCAGCCCAGTTTCACTTTAAGCTTGCGGCTTTATGACCAACGTCAGCGATTTGAGTACCGCTTATCCTATACCGCCTTATGCTATAAAAAAAAGATTCATACTTACTAACAGACACTTTTCTTTTTCCAGTGTTCGATGCAACAGCAAAGCCCCCGTCAGGTATCCTAAGCGGCAATGGAAATCAATATGGCGACTACGACGAGTGCCTCAGCATCGATGGCGCGGTCCGAGGGAAGTACTGCCTCGCTTCCCTGGAGATAAGCTTCAGTGGAGACAAGAACCTAGATGAGATCGACACGTTGGTGCATAGCGGACATTATATTCGTAGTAATATTACTGATGTGAGTATTCGTTTTGTATTTTTTACTTCACCTCGCACGTCCATTGAAAAATGAGAAAATTATAATTTACTAGTCCAAAAATTCTTATTCAACAACACTGGCCGAGTTGTCTTAAAAGATGCGTGTTGAATGGAAAAAATCAACCAATGATTCCTCCCGCCGATAGGTGAGCGAAAGGGAGGCGAAAGGGAGCGTCAGACTCGTACAGACTATAAACCACCCCGTTCATTGAGGTGATATTATGACATTCTATATTATTATTATTCTATATAATATTATGTCTATTATGACATTGTGTCGCGGATTTCTTAAAAACGACTGAACCAATTCTGATATTTTAGGAAGCTCGTTTAAAATGTTGGTGTTCTAATTCCAGTTGCTAATAGCGTAATAAACAGTTAACATCGCACTATTAACTTAACTGTCTCAGTTACGGATATAGTTTTAACAAATATGTTAATTACATGGTGACACGTTGCGTTGACCGGTTAACCTTGTATTTTATTATATGTAATTAATATATTTAAGTAACTTATAAGAAGATAATCACTTAATCCTCTAAGGTCATAAAATTGGCACTTTGATTCCCAACGTGGTGATACCACGGCCTCACAGAATGCCGACGTGAAGCAACGCTTGCGTTGTGTTTCGTCGTGTGAGTGAGGTTACCGGAGGCCCAATTACCCTCCCCTTCCCCAATCTTCCCAATCCCTGAATCCCCAACGATCCTCAAACTCCTAATCCCCAAAAAGCCGGTAACGCACTTGTAACGCCTTTGGTGTTCCAGGTGTCCATAGGCGACGCCGATTGCTTACCATCAGGCTATCCGTCTGGACGTTTACAGGCTTATGCCATAAAAAAAACGTGGAATATATTTTTGCACAGTTTTCTCTTTGCAGAAATCAGTATCATCCTTGCAAACTAAAATATGTTGTACGATAATCGCCATATTTATGTCATTTGTTATTTTCATGTCTGCTTCACTAAACAGTATAAAACAAGTCGCTATCCGCCGTCTGTCTGTCCCTGTGTATGCTTAGATCTTTAAAACTACGCAACGGATTTTGATGCAGTCTTTTTTTTAATAGATAGAACATAGAAGGAAGGTTTATATGTATTATAATACAAGCATATTGCACCCGTGCGAAGCCGGAGCGGGTCGGTAGTAAAACATAAATTAAATCTTTTGACGCATTTTATCGTTCTTTTTCCTCAAGTTCAGCAAGTCATTGAACAGTTTACTATCATTATTAAGTCGCCAACAGCCCGTGATAGTTCGTTAATAGGGGGTGAACCTGCCATATACTGGACACAATTCCAGAATCCATGCTACTACTGAGATTTTTTTTTGAAAACCCAGTAATATTTTGCACGACCCGGGAATCGAACCCGAAACCCCCGGGACTCAGCCAACGAGGCAGTAACGGAGACAGTATCTAGAATTATGTTCATCTTACTAATATTATAAATACGAAAATTTGTGATGATGTATGTGTGTGTGTGTGTGTGTGTGTGTGTTTGTTATTCTAAAACGGCTGATGGGATCGAGATGCCGCATCTTTTCGCCATCGACCCTCACGACAGCATAATATGCATCCCCATCATATAGATGGTAGGCAGGCCGCACCTGTGCGCTTCTCACGTAGCTTCCTGCCTCGCACAGCAAAACCGTGAAATGATCTGTCGTCGGTGGTATTTCCGAACCGATACGACCTTCAAACCTTCAAGAACCTGCATGGGTGCCCACTGAAAATCAGTGCTGGGTAACCTGTATGCCTGGCTTATACTGAGTGGGTGACCCTTTTAGCATAGGCATGTTGTCAGCGCCTCCTTTCTAATTCTTCTGTTCAAATTTTTCAACTCTTATATTTGTATTACTTCCACTGTCACATCTTGATTTGTCTTTTTTTTTTATTTATGCTGCATCGTGCCTGGTGCTAAATAAATGTTTTTTCTTTCTTTCTTTCTTTCAAGAAAAAAGCGTACTCCTTTTTAAAAGGCCGGCAAAGCACCTGTGACTCCTCTGGTGTTACGGGTGTTCATTCGCGGCGTTGATGGCTTACCATCAGGTGATCCGTGCGCTCGTTTGCCTCCTATTCTATAAATAAAGCAGAAATTTGGAACACGAGTAGGTTATGGAAACCACCGGCAGAAGCTAGTATACCCATATTGTTAATTTACTGTTAACAGGTGTGCGATATTCATGTTAACTTTACAAACCACAGTTAATTGAAGAACTGTGATTTATATTAATTAAACAATTTGACGTAAATTCCTTTTTAATATCTTTGTTCAAAGTTCAATTGAAGGTTTCAATTTTTTTTTCATTGTTATTGAATATGTAAGAGGGTATTTTTAGGCATAGGTACATACTTAAAAATATGGATATCTATTATTAAATTCTATTTGTGTAACACAGTTATTGTGATGAATAATAAATTAGTTGGTAAATGGCGAAAAATTCGTGAACTTTGCACGAATTTGTTTTTAATATTGTTTTACCATCTGTATTTGTTTGTCATGGAAAACCTCATGATTTCCCCCAGTATAAAATAACATGACATCACGCGAAATATTCTACATATCATCAACAGCCTATTAATACCCACTGCTGAGCAACGCCTCTTCTCACATGGAGAAGGTTTGAGCATTACCACCACGCTTCCTCAATGCGGGTTGGCGATTACAAACTTATAACTAGAATTTATAAGCCCAGGTTTCCTCACGATGTTTTCCTTCACCATTAGTCAGTGGTGTCTAAATAATCTTAGAAAGTAAATACTCGGAAAAAGTCACATTGGTACTTGCCATTGGTAGGTTTCGATCTCGCACCTCATGCATGAGAAGCAGGCTTTTGAAACCTCCGGGCCACCACGACATATATAACTGAAGATAAACCTTGAAATTCCAATAAGTATGTTCAAAATGCGAGAAATTATAACTCTGTTAAGACTTTGCCTTGGCAAAGAGAAGATCTGGATCTAGTATTGAACTTGAGACACCTTACCACCTAATGCTTGAAGTACTGCGAGAGAAACTTATGAATGGTGTTAACTCCTGTTTTACTTAAGTTTGTTTTAATTAAGTTTGACTGCCTCGTTGGCCGAGTGGTCGCAAGTACGACTACCGGGCAAGGGGTCTCGGGTTCGATTCCCGGGTCGGGTAAAGTATTACTGGGTTTTAAAAAAAAATCTCAGTAGTAGCACGGAGTCTGGAAATGTGCCCTGTATATGGCAATAGGCTCACCCCCTATTACATGGGACTCATAACATAAACAGTGAAAAGTGGGAGTTACCTCTGTGTGCACCTCTGCCTACCCCTTCGGGGATAAAAGGCGTGGTGGTGTGTTATGTTATGTTATGTTTTACTTTTCTTTTTTTTCTTTTGTTTATATTTTACTAGCTTTTAGGCTTCGCTCGCGTCACAAAAGGATAAAAAGTAGCCTATGTGACATTAACCAATACACACAGCGCCATCTATACCAATACTTTTGTTTTCCCTCGGGAATATAAAATTTTTCCGGGATAAAAAGTACCCTATTATTTAATCCAGACTTCTAACTTTACCTCTGCAAAATTTCAAAGCAATCGGTTCAGTAGTTACGTCGCGAAAGCGGAACAAACAAACAAACAAACTCATTTTCCGATTTATAATATAAGTAAGGATACTGTAATTGGATTCACTGCCGTTGTGACTGTTTAAAAATAAATCAATTAATTAAATCAAATTTTAAAATGACGAATTGATGACGTACCATCGTCGTTATTTTCGATCCTTATTTACCTACTTGTCAATTAGTTCCAAAAAGACCTTTGTGACGTATCATGTCATGGCCCAGTCATGGTCAAATATGGTTCGGTGCTAATCTATCTAAGTACATGAACAAACGTACGTATACGTATATAATATAGATAGGTATATCAATAGTATTTATTATGTAGTTTTGTAACTTTTGTTTACTTTCGTTGGCATCAAGGAATTTTCCTTCAAACTTTTACAATCTTTGCTTTTCTAATAAGTATATAGTGGTTTTCATGTTATTATAGATATTGTTCACCGACACATATGGTGCAACAAATCTTTCGAATATGAAGCTTATCAAAACACTAGCAACTTCCTCGCGGTTTCACTGGCTCTGCTCGACGCGTAATGATAGTAGTGTCATTTTATAGCCTATTGCATTACAACACGCCTTTTATCCCTGAAGGAGTAGGCAGAAGTGTAAATTACGGCACTCAAATGCCACTGTACAATGTAACACCTACTTTTAATTAATTATGTTATGAGTCCCATTTATGTCATGACACGAAAACATTTTTTTCTAATCGGATCAATAGATCCTGATATTATCGCGTTCAAACAAACAAACAAACAGATTCTTCAGCTTTATAATAATAAGAACCCGCACCCTCATGCATAAGTAGTTTCTTAAACCTCCAGGCCACCACGACACGGTATAAATGAATTATGTCGCCTTATAAAAACTACTAAACTGTCAAACACCGCGAGGGCACCGGTGACCGTAACCTATTGTTCTTTAATTGTGTCTATAATGACGGTACTCAAAGGGTTAAATAACACGCCCAAAATTTTAAATGTTCTATTTTTAAAACTATCAGCACCCACAGAGACAAATACTCTCAAAAAACAAATAAAACAGAACGGTAAATCCGATCAACTTTTACCCCAACGGCCCGAAATATGCATCGCAGTGGGTGGGGTGATTTCGTAAGAACAATTCTGTTGCAAGAATGCACTTACTGGCCGGGGCTATATAACCATGACCTTGGGCAAAAGCCTGCTTCAGGGAACCTTGACCGGTTACGCCATCGCTGTACAGGTTTGGGGCACTTCGGTAGCCCAGCTGTTTAATTGGAATACGGCTTTAATCGGGTATTATTTGGGTTTGTTGTTTGGTTTTTTTTTTATTTTGTATGAAATGTAAAGAATATGCTTTTGGTGTAATGAGGAATTCTTCTTATGATCCTTGAATAGTTTCT